TCAGGTCACGAGTGGCCCCCTGCACAGGTGTGTATGGCCTGTCTTCCCTGAGGTTCCAGTAGCAATAGGCCCTCACTCACCCCAAGGCTCTGGGACCACGGACACCTGTAACTTCACAAGCAGAAATTACTCAGTGCCATGGGGCTTTTTGCTGGTAAGAAAATGGTGGCCTGCACAAAACCACTGGCAAATTCAGAGCAGAGCCAGAATCACCTCCCCAGGCTTGGGAGCCAGAGCACACAGGTGCCCCCCATTCAGGATCACTTGTACTATGGTGGATTCCCACGCCCCCGACCCGCTCCCCCGTGAGGATGTGTCCCTTTTATTTGATTTAAACACGGTGCGTTCTTGTGCCAGGGAGGGAGGAGGAGTCAGTGCAGGACGGGAGGGTCAGAATAGAGAAGGGATCATGTCTCAGGATGGGGGGGGGGCTATGTTAGAAGGGAGAAGGGGAGACCCAGCCTCTGGTCTCTGGCAGGTCCTTGACCTTCCCACACCTGGATTCTCTGGCTCAGGCCCCCAGCCCAAAGCCTGCCCCTTCCTCTCCATTCCCAGCCCTACCCTGAGCCCCAGGCTTGCCCCCAGAATCCCCCCACCTCTGCTGAATCTTCAGGCCCTTCCTCCTCTCCAGTCTGAATGTCTCCTCCCTTCTCTTGCCTCCTCTTTCTGCCCAGGGGCTAGGGCTGAATAAGAGGCAAACTATAGGGATTGGTGTCCAGGTCAAAGCTTAAACGTGCCTACCTGCCTCCCTCCAGCCCCTGCCTCCATCTATACAGACCCTTAGGCATCAGGTGTCACCTTCTGCTCTTCTAGATGAGGTCAAGAGGCGGCCCCTCCATTCCTCCTGGTCTCCCTCTCCGCCCTGTCCCTGGGGGCTCAGAGGACAGAGGAACTCAGAACCCAGACAGTGGGCTGGGGACGAGGTCGCACGGTCGCTTCCCCCAGGAGCCGCTAGGTGGCGCCTCGTTAACGAGGATCGGAATGGACCGGACAAACGGCGCAGCGAGGACTGGAGAGCCCTGCATCCCGCCGACCCCTCCCACGCGGCTGCAACCACCAGGGTCCTCATGCCTCTGGAGCCCTATGCTCCCGACCCCGCCCTAAGCTCTCCTCAAGGTTCCAGGCTCGCCCTGGGGCGCAGGGCACTCAACTTGGGGGCCCTCTCCACCACCTCTGCACTTGGCCCCAGGGCAGCTCCTGCGGTCCCATCAGCCTGGCCAGCTGCCCCAGCGCCACGCCTTCTCTCCAGGAGGTGACCCTGCTTCTGGGGCACAGTGCAGAGGTGGAGAAATAGGCAACTTGGTGAAGGAGAGGAGCCAGAGAGTCTGGGCTGGAGCCTGCCGCCCAGGAGGGTCCTTTCCTCTGTGTTTCTTTATAAAATGGGATTGATCACAGCCCACAGAGTACATGAAGTCAGCCTGGACGACTCCTGGCATGAGGCATGGCACTCAGTAAGCAACCGTGCCTCAGTTTCCCCTTTACATCTTTACCAGGGATGGTACCTTACCTCTCTGCCTTTGCCCTTCTGGTCTTCGCCTCACTGTAGTGCAGGCTGCAGCTCAGAAGCATCTCTTGAACCTGCATCCCACGCCCACCGCCTGAACAGGAAGACTGTGCTCCCCTCCTTGGCAGGACTGGCCCAATACCTGCCCCAGCTTAGCGTCAGATACAGGCGCCCTTAGGTGCCCTCATTCACCAGACTCCTCCCGGCCTCTGAGTCCTGTCCTGAGGGTCTACCCACCCCGCTGCCAGGTCGTAGGCCCCTGGGACAATAGAAACCATCCGCTCAGTGTGGCCTGGCACAGGGAGGGGGACGCAGTAAACGCCCAATAAATGAATGTTAATTGGATTCATGTGAGGAGGAGGCCGGGCACTCACAACACGCATTGACCCCACTCTGCACCTGGCACCATGCCGGGGGCTTCTTTAATATATTCTCCCAACAACTCTGAGTGGTTTTCCCACGAGGAAGCAGAGGCTCAGAGAGCCAAGGTCACACAAGGGGTCAATGACATCTGGAGCTGACTTGCTCCAGGGTGCCCCAGACCCTCTCTACCATGAGACCCTCTTCCCAGCCTGAGACTAAACTTGGAGGTGTGCTGACCAAGCCACTCTCAGACTTTCCCATGCTGAGGTCCACCTCTGAGCCTCTGAGGCTCCTGCAGTCCTCACAGTCACCCCCCTAGCCTTTGCAGGGGCTGAGCATCCTGCCAGGAAAGATGTCTTTCCAGCCTCATCCCTTGGGAGCCACCCCAGCATCACCTCCTGTAGGAAGCCTTCTGGGGTCCCCAGCCTCACAGGCTCCCTTGGTCCCTGGCTCAGACACATTGTGGACTCAGGCAGCTGTTAGGGACCTGCCGAGACTGCATCACCACCATGATGTGTTCTGTGGGCGAGCCTACACCACATCCCAAACCCAGTTTACAAAAAAAGGCTTTGGAAGGCATTCAGGGTATATGATGGACTGAAGGTCTGTGTTCCCCTCCCCTCCAAATTCATATGCGGAAGCCCTAAACCCCAATGCCATGGTATCAGAAGGTGGGGCTTTTGAGACATGATTAGGTTTAGATGAGGTCACGAGGGTGTGGCCCCCATACTGGGATTCATGTTCTTATTGGCAGAGGAAGAGAGACTAGAGCTGTCTTCCACTACTGTGCAAAGACAGCAAGAAGGTGGCCGTCTGCACACCGGAAAGAGGGCCCTCACCGAGAACCAAGTCTGACAGCACCTTGATCTTGGACTTCCCAGCCTCCAGAACTGTGAAAAAGAAAAAGTCTGTTGTCTGAGCCCCCAGAGTAGATGATAAAACTGGGGTTCAGAGGGGCCAAGTGACCAACACAGTCACACAGCAAACCAGAGCTAAGACTAAGACACAAGGTCAAAAAAAAAAAAAAAGAAAAGAAAGAAAAGAAAAAGAGAAAAAAAGAAGACCAAAAAGGATGAATTTAAACACACACGCTCACCAAGGGGCGGGGCACAGTGAAGCTGTGGAATGCAGCTGGGAGAGGGGGCGCCTCTGTGCTGGGGATGCCCTGCGCCAGGCCCCAGGCCTCTGTTACCCCAGCACACACCATCACCTAGCTTGTGTCCCCAAGAAAGTTCTGCCTTCCAGTCATCAGGACTGCCATCCCTGACCACCTGGGGGTACATGGAGCTGGTTCCGGGAGGTCCCCACTAACCCACTAACCTCATCCTCTCAGTGTCTCGGGCTAAGGGTTGCTGGATGTTCTGGAAGTTGCCCCCCAAGATGCCATCATGGAGCCAGCCCTCGGCTGGGGTTTGGAAGCCTAGGTTCTGGCCCTGCGCTGCCCCTGCCCCTGGGCCCTTCTTTGAGTTTCACCAGTTCAACAACAGGCTGGAGGTGGGGGCTGGGGGTGTTTCTGAGTAATGATGCCGGAGGCATCTCACCCAGCGCTGGATCGTGTGCATCTGAGGAAAGCAGCAAACATCACTGTTTCTTCCTCTCTTTCTTTCCTTCTTTCTCTGTCTCTGCCTCTCTTTCTTTTAGAGCCGATTGTTAATCATTTATCTCCAGGGGCTGGGACAGCGGCAGAGTCCTTCACGACAGGCCAGGCCAGCCCGAGAAGCCAGCCGGCACCTCCCAGCCTGGCCTGGCCTGGCCCCTCTGGTGCCCCTGGGCCCTTGGGGCCGCACAGAGCACGGCCGCAACATCCGTTCTTCCACTCGCCGAACCCCTTCTGCCCTTGCGCGAGCACGGTCCCCGGGCTGGCCTCCCCGCCCGACGTGCCATGTGCCTTGAGCTTGTCTGGTCCCAGACTGGCCCTGGAGGAGACAGTACTTTAACAGAGTCACCTCTGGGCCTCACGGGGACCAGCCACAACAAGGGGGGCTGGTGTCTGAGGTTCAGTGCAGGGGGGAGCACAGCCGTGAACCCAAGCCACGGAGTATCCTCTCACCCCGCCCCGAGCGCCTGCAGAGCTGACCGGTCAGTGAGGGTGGAAGACAGGGCTCCCGTGAATTCAGGCAGCACCAGCATGGACTTGGCCTGATGTGGATGTGGGCTCGGCTAAACTGGCCTCCAAACACACACACACACACACACACGAGGCTTTGCTAAGGTATAAGCTGGGTCACCACAGAGATGCTTAACCTGCTGGAAAAGTGACCCCTTGCAAGCACTTGTAAGGAGTGCGTTTAAGCACGCCCCAGACTGATAGCCCGGTTACAACCGCCCTTTGTTCCTAGAGGCTGACAGCCTCCTTTCCTCCACCCAGAAGTCAGAGTTGCTGTCTCCGCTGAGTGTTAATAAAACTCCCTTTTAAGAATTATCCAGCCGTCCACTCAGCCAGCTTTGCTCTTTTCCATTTAGCAGCATTCATTAAATGCCAGCTGTGGCCAAGCCCTGACGAGCCCACATGCTTGGACACTCTCTGTGTCGTGTTGGCCTCGCCAAGCCCGTTGTGGGATCTGACGGCATCGGACCCCAGGCATCCCCTGTCACACGGGCGCTGTGGCTGACTTCCCGCCCCAGGCTAACTCGCCCCACTGGTGGCTGCGTGATCAATGTCTGCTCGATGCATGTTGACTGGTCCTGCTCTCACCTCAAGCCAGTGGCTGGCAGGGAGGCCTGAGGGATAGAAAGCCAGTAACTGCCTCCTCTGGACAAGATCAGTGGCTTTTCATTCTGTTTCAGAAATTGAACTCGCTTGACACGGGAAATCACAGGCAGAATCCCGGGGTATAAAATGGATAAGAACAGAACAGCTCCAGCTGAAGCGCGTGCCCCCAGATGCCCCTCTTCCTGGACCTCCTCGGAATCCTCCAGCTTCAATGTGTTTGGTGTCCACTGCAGCCTGATCCTTCCCTTCATCTGGTAACCCAGGTTTATAGGTCATTCCAATCTGGGGATGTTAAAAAAAAAAAAAACAGGAAACAAAAGCTGGAGGTTACAACCCCCCAGACTGGGGTGCCTCATCTTCCCGGGCTCCACTTTGCCCCTGTTCACTCTGTGGATACTCCTGGAAGCCTCCAGACAGAAGACTTTTCTTATTTCCCACCTGCTGGCAGCCTCTCCCCTCTATTGCTCCCGGTCAGCGTGGCAAGGATGTTTCTGGTACAGCCTCTGCCAAATCAATGGCTGGGATGCTGAGGTCTGCACCCTACTGCCCCTGCCGGCACCTGGGACAGACTGGGCCTGGAGCCATCTCTCATGATTGCTCAAGTGGCAGTCCGTCTCAGTGTCACCTACATGCCCAGCCCTGCGCAGGGCACCAGGGACACGTGAGACAAGCTGCTGCCTCCGTGGTGTGTGAAGCAGGTGCTGGGGAGGACGCAGCGGTCCAGCCGGGAGCCACAGAAGCACTGCTGAGGGCAGGATGCCGGGGTTGGGGGGGGTGTGCTTTGAGATACATGGGAGGGGCCGGCCTCAATCTGGGGGTTCAAGGAGCCCTCTGGACTCTGCTGGCCTGTGAACTGTCCGTGGCTCCCGGAGGCGCCACTGCCCTCATTCTCCAGAAGGGTGCCTTGTGGGGCCGAGAGGTGGAGAAAGAGTGGCGCATTACTGTGCACTTTTTCTTAAGTCTGTGATAAGCTCCTTCTATTAGACGATAGATCTCGTCACATAAAATAGATTTGTGGACTCACAGCCGGGGAGAGCCACGTTCCTGAGAGTCGGAAATGGCTCATTTCCCCCTCCTTCTTCCTTGAGTAACTGATGGTCATGAATTTTTCACCCAAATGTCGCCACTAAAGATGTCACCAGCCTCCCCTGGAGGTTTTATGATCTGGCTCTAATGGGGTGGGGGTGGGGGGCACAGAGTGAAAGGGAAGTCTGTGTCCCGGAGCCGGAAGGGATGAGGAGGGGGTGGCAGAGAGGACGGGGACTGGCATTTCAGCTCTGTTTATTGAGCAGTTACTGTGGGGCTGGCCAGAGCCAAGGACTTCCCGCCCACTATCTCATCCACCAACAATGTGGCGAGGAAGTTGGATTCAGAGAGACTGAGTAAGTTGCCCAAGGTCACAAAGCTTATTAAAGCGACAAAACCACAGGCATCGGAGAAGTATGAGGTTCCTGGTTCCTGCCTCTGCTCCCCACACTGCAAGGCAGGAAAGGAGAGGGCCCTGTGTACCTGGAGGTGGGGCGTAACGAAGGGTGGGGTAAAGGAAATAAGTCTTAAAAGCAAACACCAGAGCCTTTCAGGGCTGGAGAGGGGAGGGGAGAGGACAGACCAGTGTCAGATGCCAAGCTTCCTGGTCAGGGAAACCTCTGCCAGTGACGGGGAGCTCACTACCTCATAAGCCCAGTTCATCTTACAGCTCTGACTACAGATGGAAGGGACTCAGCCTTTCTGCAACGCTGGCCTCTTCACTGAGCCATTCTTCTGTGGGCTCTTAAGACAGGGGTCATCCGGCAATGTAACCCCACCAAATATCAGAGCCAGATTCATGGCTCCCAGAATATCCTCAGGTCCACTGTCCCCTCAAAACACAATGCTGTGAGGCAGGAAGCCCAGGCCAGGTTGCTGTCCCATTTTTAAGATGAGGACATTGGGGCCTCGTGTGGAGATGGAGGAGGGGCTGGACGAGCAGGGCTCTGTCCCCGGCACTGGGTAGCCACGTCCAGTTCTGCCACCACTTTCCTTCCCAGCTTCACGCCACCTGCTCAGAACCAGCACTGGCTGGTCTCTGGCCCTGCTGTGGGTCCAGTCCTGCCCACGCTGAGCCATCTGGACACGCTCTCCCAGGCCCCAGGGCACTAGCTGGGAAATCAGGGTTCCCCAAGGAGGCCCCTGCAGGGAGGGGTGCTGCCAAAACCTCCCCAAGTTCTGCCCAGCCTGAGGAGCAGGAGGCCCTGGTTCTAGTCCCCTTCTGTCCCTCCCCAACACAGCTTGGCTCTCTCCTCTGAAAGATGAAGGGGCTTCTCCAGTGAGGTGAGACCCCTCCCTGCATTTTCTGTATCTCAGTAGCAGCCAATCCATCACCCTTTGTGACTTGGGTCCTGAAGTTGCTGGGACCTGTGGTTGAGGGTGGGGATGGGGATGGGGATGTGGCAGCTGGGCCCAGGGAACCCTGGGTGGGCCTGGTGTGTCACAGAGGGATGTCCAAGAAGGAACAGAGACAGCCCATCAGCTCTCCAGGACACGTGGATGTCTGGGCCCTCAGCCGCTCTGCAAAGTCCTCTCCCGCAGGGTGAGGAGGCCCAGCCAGGGGTCTCCATGGAGACCGTGGGAGGGGGCAGCAAGGCAGATGGGTGGGGGCCATGGGGAAGAGGAGACACATCTAGCACCAAGCCCTGAGGGGAAACGAGAAAATGTCCATGGATTGATAGACACTTTACAAGAATCAAACACTTTGCTCGTGGCACTCCGGGCTGCAGCCAGATTATTGCCCTATAAATGAGTAAGAAGCACGTTGACTGATTCACGACCAGGAGGAATCCGGCCCGAGACAAGTAAACAGGCGATTACAATGCAGCCCAGTAACTCTAATAGGTGCTGCAAGGGAGGAAGAAGCTCAGAGTGCTGGCTGAGGAGGTTGCTCTGCCCAGGGGCAAGGAGACGGCCAGGAAGGCTTCCTGGAAGAGAAGACAACTCAGCTAATAACCATTAAGGCACTTGGGCTACAATTCTCCTGATGGCAGAGAATGATTCCCACCCTGATGTGGGTCAGCTGTGTGGAGGAGAGAGGGGCTAGGGCCAGGGAGGGGTGGTGCGGGGAGGAAACGGGGTTGGGGGGCAAACTCATAATCACTTCAGACCTTAGAGTTTCATCTTGAAAAATCATTTTCAAATGATTCATCACACTCAGGAGTAGACAGATCCATGGGACAGAAAGGAAAAGCCCAGACACTTGCCGAAACATACTAGAATTTAGTGTGTAATACAGGTGGCCTCTTACATCAGGGAGGTAAAGATGAGAGTTTTAATAAATGGTGTTAACACAACCGGGAAACCACCTGGAGACCAATAAAACTGGATCTATTGTTCACCAGAACACCAGTTCTAACTCCAAATGGATCCAAGATTTTGATGTAGAAATTAAAATCATTCAGAGAATCAGAGGAAAACAGGAGTGAATCCCTTTATAACTGTGGCATGGGGGAAAACTAATGACTCAAAGTCCAAAAGCCAGAAAAGATGATGAATTAAATTAACAATAATGACAACAACAAACTACATGATAAAGATCATAAGCAAAGTCAAAGACAAACTGGGAGAAAATATTTGCAACTCACATCATAGCCTAGGGGCTAAACTCCCTAATATGTAAAGAGTTCCTGGAAACCAATAAGAGAAAAAAAACCCCAGCAATCAAAGAGACAAGTGGGCAAAAGATTTGACCAGAGCATTCAAAGGAAAAGAAATATAAACATATGAAAAGACACTCCATCTCATGCACATTGAAGAGAAATACGGAGAAAGTCACACCAGGATCCTACCTCTTACCTATCAGATAGGCAAAAATCCAAAAGCATGAAACACAGCCATAGCTGGTAGAGCTGTCGTGTTGGGAAACAAACTGTCATACGTGGCTGGTAGGAATGCAGACTAGTACAACCCCAATGAAAGATGGTTTAGTCATTTCTTGTCAGAGTGACAGATGCTTTTACCTGTGACCCAACAATCCCAGTTCTGGGAATTTACTCGACAGACGCACCTTGAGCACGAGAGGAAAGAGGCCTGTTGGTCACAAGCCCACTGGTCACAGCTGCGTGTACCAGCACAAAGCTGGCAATAACCCCAGGGTCTATCTAAAAGGAATGGTGAAACACACGATGGTACATCCACACAATGAAATACATGCAGCTGTTGGGGGAGGGGGAGAGGGGAAGGGAGGAGGAAGAGGAGGAGGAGGCAGCGCTATATGTTCTGATATGCAAAAGTCTCCTGTACCTACTATTAGGGAAAAACACAAGGAGTAGAACAGCATCTGTGTATGCGAATACATACTGACGTAAGCGTTTACGTAAAGAAGTACTGAAGGATACCCAAGAAAGTAAGTGTTTCTCTAGGGAGCAGGCGGATGGGCTGGCAAGGGGATGTTTGATGGATGCCTTTTTATAGAAGTTTGAATTTCAAATCATGTGGCTGTATTGCACATTCACACCTTGATAATGATATCAAAATAATTTGCCAGGTAAGTACACATCAATGTTCACAGGTATTTATCTGGGGGTTTGTTCCTCCCTAAATACCAAGACCTAGGCCCATAGGAACCTGTCCTCCAATTTGGGAAAAGGGCTGTAGGCAGTGCGGAGCCACTGAGGGTTCAGAGCACGGCAGGCACATGAGGGCAAGAAAGCCCACAGCCCCGCAAACAGGTGTCAGGCCAATGGACCACCCACAGGGCAAGGGGACCTGTGGCCAGAGCCTTGGGGGCAGCTCTGGTTCAGGGAGGGACGTCCCCCGGCCCAAGCCCCCACACCCCTCAATCTCAATGTCCACATTTCCCGGGAGCAGCTTAGCACGCAGCTGCTGGCTTTGCAGACTGCTTTCTGCTAAAGCGGATTCCCTGATTTGGGGAGAGAGAAGCCTTATCAGTGGGCTCAAGTAAGCCCAAGAGAGCCAGTTTCTGAGCCCAGCGTCCAGCGGCCGGACTAGCAGGGCCCAGAGCCCCCAGCCGATATGACAGCAGGTGTCCAGGGAAGCAGCTCTGACGCTCAGTGGGGACCCAGTGGGTCCCTCTTCTTCCTCTCTTTCAAAATGAAGACTTCCTTCCAGCTGCAGACAAGGGATCCATGGGGAAGACGGGCTTCCTAGAAGGGGCTCTCCCACCCCTTCCTTCCGGAAGCCGTCCTGAGTCCGTCAGAATGCTGGGACACCTCTTCGGACCCCTCCTGCTGGGTCACAATCTTCTCCAGGGCTAGGGTCCTTGTTCCTGACAGCACATCACCCCCTGAGGC